TGTCACCCTGACAGATGGGGCTGGGACCCGTCTCTGCCCAGCTCCAGGGAGGAGGGGTATAAATGKGACTCTGGCAGGTGCTTCCCCACCATGGTAAATTCACAAAAGTACAAACTTGGCTCTTTGCATCTCAGCTTTTCCCTGAGCTTCTCTGTGGGCCCAGGGATGAGGGAGCAGAGCATGCAGTCATCCTGCCAGTGATTCACCTCATCCTTCCACAGAACTCCACCGCAGTCCAGCCCACAACACAAATACTTACCAGAAATCACAAAACCCCTTTACTACCAAAAAAAACCCCAAACCAAAAGGCTGGGAGCAGGGCTAAACCCTGCCTTTTAGGGTTAGGACCAGCCCTAATGGAGCACTGACCTAATATGGGTTTTCTTTCTCACTCAATGGGAGGCAGAGCCGAGGAGGCTGTGCTTGTCYCTTAGAGGGTCGGGGCCTTTAATTCACTTTCCCAAACTGATTCCATCCTTTGCTGTGTCTTGCAGCCGCGTTCCTGCTCAGGATGAGGGATTACATGCCCCCGGCGCACCGAGCCCTGGTGCAGGAGCTSCATGGYGCGGTGTCCCCATGTCCCCTCCGGCAGCACATCCTCTCCTGCGGGGATCAGCGGCTCCGCGCCGCCTTCAACCGCTGCGTGGCCGCCCTGACAGCCTTCAGGTCCCACCACATCACCGTGGTCACCAAATACATCAGCATCGCGGCTGCCAGAGCCCGGGCAGAGCCGGGAGCCGGGGCCGGCCCCGCGGGGGGAGAGCCCCCGTCTGCCCTGGAGACCAAAGGGACAGGAGGGTCCCCCATCTTCAGCTTCCTCAAGAGCGTCAGGGACAGCACCAGGGAGGGGATGATAAATGCCTGAGCTGCCCGAGGGTGGTGAGGCACTGCCCAAAGGGCTKCAGTGTCTGTAATGCACAATTCAAGATCCACAACCGCCCATCAGCTCTAGCCTTCCCACCGGCGTGTTTGGGACACCAGGGACATGCTGGGGCTGGCGACAGAGGACAGCGCTGCTGCTGCTTCCCCCGAAGGCTCTCAGTGAGCTCAGATCCTCCCCTGGCCCGGGATGGGGCAGTGTCCCCCATGGCACCGACGTCACCCCTCCCTCCCCGTGTCCCTCTGTCCGTCCCCATCTCCCTCCCCGTGTCCCTCTGTCCGTCCCCATGTCCCGTGTCCCTCTGTCCGTCCCCAGCTCCCTCCCCCGTGTCCCTCTGTCCGTCCCCAGCTCCCTCCCCCGTGTCCCTCTGTCCGTTCCCATGTCCCTCCCGCTGTCCCACGATGGCTGTGGGAGCTGCGGGATGGACACGGGTGGCTCACACGGAGCAATAAAGCCGCGAATGCAGCCCCTGTTCCATCGCAGCGCTGCTCCAGCACCAGGTGGCGACCRAAACCCGCGTTTGGCTCCCGAGGAAAGAGGAGCGGGAGCCGCAAACCCGCGGGGATCGGGCGGAGGGAGGGGACAGCCAAGGGCGAGAAGGAGCTSCCCAGGGTGACCCCAGCCCTGGCACCCCCATACGGCTCCTCTGCCCCAAAGGGACCGCGATTCTCCCGGGGACACCCCACAAACCCCAATTCTCCCGTCACGGCAGAGATGCCGGAGCCACCCGAGCCCCGGCACGGGAGGAACCAAGGCGGGGATGAACTCGGGCGGGTCAGGGGCTGTGTCTRCCCATGGAAGAGCTGYCCCGAGGCACAGGGACTGCTCTCCRTGGCCAATTCCAYTGTCCCKCCYGGTTACGGGCTCRGGATGTCACGGGGCAAAGCTGCAGCGCTGGGGGTCACACGGGCATCGCTTTAAACCTCAGTGACAACCCCGTGCTGCCGCAGGGACATGGGGACACACGGCTTGGTCAGGGGACACACAGGGGAAAAGGCTTGTGAGGAGCCCACGATGGCAGCAGCCCGGGCAGGGTCAGCCCCAGGGACAGCAGGGGAAGGAGCAGCCCCTGGCCAGGAGTGTCACTGTCCCCAAGGGTCACTGTCCCCGACTGTCACTGTCCCCGACTGTCACTGTCCCCGAGTGTCACTGCCCCAGACTGTCACTGTCCCCGACTGTCACTGTCCCCGAGTGTCACTGTCCCCAAGGGTCACTGTCCCCGAGTGTCACTGCCCCCGACTGTCACTGTCCCCGAGTGTCACTGTCCCCGACTGTCACTGCCCCCGACTGTCACTGCCCGGCCCAGTCCGAGTGTCACTGCCCCCGACTGTCACTGTCCCCAAGGGTCACTGTCCCCCGAGTGTCACTGTCCCTTGCGTAGCCCAGCTGGGCTGAGTGGGCAGAGCCTTGGGTGTGCCAAGAGCAGTGCTAAAGCTTTTTTTATAATGCCAGGTGCCCGTGCTGCCCTTTCCTAACAAGTGAGCACGCCCAAATTCCTTGGAATCGGCATCTTTAGGGAAATGAGGCCATATGGCTGTGTTTTGCCTGCCCAGGTTTTGCTGGCACAGCCACCAGAGCAGGATTCACACCCAGTCGGTGCTKGGTACAAAAATAGCCCTGGCAGTGCCCCTTCTGCACCGCCAGAAGAGAGTCAAGGTCCTTTGAAATGAGATGTCATTCCCATAAGGGCAAAAAGGAGCTCAGCACACTGCAGCTTGAATTATTAAACTCTTGCTAAATTGTGTTTTGTGCTTTTTTTGAATGCAGCCCTAAAACTGGGGCTTCGGAGATGACTTCAGTAAACAACCCACGGGAACGTGTCAGCACCTTTAAATCTTTGCCTGGCAGCGCTSCTTCCACTTGATCTTCATTTCTGAATAGCTGCTGCATATTTCATGCAGGAAATATTTCATCCTGATGATTGTCTTGCTCTATTACATTTCAGACCATTTCAGGAAAACAGCRAACTTGGACCAGGGGAAAAATCACTCCAGCTAAATGAGAAACGCTGCCAGSACTGGTGGGAGCTGGGGCACGCTGGCCCTGCAGGGGAACGGGGACTCCACGTGCTGCAAATGCCCAAACGCTGCTGGGAACAGCCAGGACGGTGCCAGGGAGTGCCCAGGATCCCCAGGTTCTGTTTTCCTCCTGCTGCAAATTCCCTTCCCTCCACAGCTGCCCCTGTCCCGTGCCAGTGGGGTCAGGAGGGTGGATTTGTGTCACCTCTGAAAAGGAAACTGGGAAAGCAGAGATATTCTGGAGTGCCAAGGGGGTTCCCTGCACTGGAGGGCACAGCCACCTTTAATGCTTTTGGGGTACAAGAAACTGCAGAGAAGGAGTCAGCCACTGCATTCCCAGCAGCACAGTTGGGAGCTCAGAACTGCCTGAGTTCCCATTCCCAAAC